GGGAGGGAGCAAGGGAAGGGGCAGAGATTTCCAATGCCCCTGCCAAATTTCCACAAGAAAACTCAATGGAGAAGCTGGCAGGAAGTTAAAAGTTGCTCCTGTTTCCCACTGCAATTTTATCTATCCATTCTGTTTCAGTTTTAGGTAAGGAAATATCTTTGAAATGATGGCCGAGTGGGGTACTGGTTGTTTATTAAACATTAAAAGTGAACTATGTAAAACTATACAAAACAGACACCTCTCCCCCCAAACCCCTCCCCAGCAAAAAAAATGACTAAGAACATAAAAACCTGAATAGAAAGTAGATAAAATTAGCCCTAAATGTACAGATGGTAACTAATAAACAGTAAGAACTATCTAATCTGAAATGGAGATTAATATTTAGTGGTTAAAAGTTAAAGTTAAAAGGTTGGGGTAGGAATAGTTGTTTCAGGTTAAATTACTTAAAATATTTATAAGCCTGGGCACAGATACATCTGTAGCATTAGCAGAGAAGTTGTACATGGAGATAAGTATACATAATGCTATCCTAGGCCTGGATGAGTATGTAAATACATAAGGTGAAACCTAGGACTCTATTGGCATCTTAACGTGGGCACCGATTTATCTGCAGGGTGCATGGATATAAATTGGGGGAACTATGCTACATTGCCTCAGGAATTCTGGGACTTGAAGTTCACAAGTCATAAAAGGGTCATAGTTCCCTATCTCTGATATAAATAGTGGTCTGCTTTGACCCAATTTGACCCAACTTCTCAGAGTCCACTGTGCTTATTATGCTGTTACACAGAATTTTGCAGTGTAGTACATAATAGCAGGGAGGTTCACTGCAGCATTGAACATTTGACATGCTGCTTCTTTGTTTTTCTCTAGAGGCGCAGTCCTGGGGCCTCAGGCACAGGCAGCTTCTGAAAGCTTTGAATGCAGCTCTTGGAAACCACCAAAAAGTGATCGTTGAATTCTAATATGCAATCTGGAAGAAGGGAACATTATTAAAGACCATAGGCTGTAGTCCTATTTATTTCTTTTAGTTAGTTTAATTTAATTTAATGACATTAAATCATTTTGAATTTTTCTGGGGGAAAAAACAGATATCTAAAAACTTCTCATACAGGTATTCCTTAATACAACCATTCATTTAACAACAGTAGTGACTTATGACCATCTTTGCACTTATGGCTGTCACAACATCCCCATGGGCACATAATGCTATGGGTTTCCTCTCCTAAGAAGGTCCATCTGGTGAGTATCAAGAAGAAGGGCCTTCTCCATGGTGGCTCCCTCCCTGTGGAACATCATCCCTGCAGAGATGAGATTGCCTCCCCCACCCCCACACACACACTTTGACAGTCTTTTGCAAGGCTTTGAAGATATGGTTGTGCCAATGGGCCTGGGGACCCCAAAATGCATGGAGCCCATCAAATGGCTTGATTATAATCACTCTGTGCGTGTGTTCCTTTTTGTATTGGGATTTTATCCTTGTAAACTACCCAGTATCACTGAGAGTGAGTTGGGAAGACATATAAATAAAAAGTAATTAAAATTTTGGCACTTGTCCAGCTGCATGTATTTATGAAGACTGCAGCATCCCAGGATTGTGTGATTGCAATCTGAGACGTTCTCAGTTGGATTTCAACAAGCAGAGTCAATGGGGGAAGCTGGATTTGCTTAACGACCACATGAGTCACTTAATAACTGCAGTAATTCACTTAACCACTGTAGCAAAAAAAAAAAGTTGTAAAAATGTCCAACTGCCTCGCTTAGCAACAGAAATTTTGGTCCCAATTTTAGTCCTAAGTCAAGGACTACTGATATACTCTAATTAATTCCTTAGCAAAGTGCAGGACAATTACCTTAAACCCATCACAAACATTTTATGCTGGAATTAGTTTTTAGTAAAAAAAAAAATCAATACACCAAATACAAGCTAGGCGGATATGATCTTGTTGACGAAACTCACTCTGTCAAGGATCTTGGAGTTCTCATATTGAATGACCTAAGCGCCAGAGCTCACTGCAACAGCATTGCCAAAAAGGCTTTCAGAGTTGTAAATCTAATCTGACAAAACTTCTCCTCTGGTAATACTGAGGAATCCGCACTGTATATCAGACATTAAAACAATTGAATGAGTGCAGAAGTATTTTACCAGAAGAGTACTACATTCCTCTATTCGCAACAGAATACCCTATATCACCAGAGATTCTAGGTTTAGACAACTTTGAACTATGCCGGCTAAGATTGGACTTAAGAATAGTATATAAAATCATATGTTACAATGTCTTACCAGTTAATGAATATTTCAGCTTCAACCACAACAACACAAGAGCACACAACAGATATAAACTTAATGTAAACCGCTCTAAGCTTGATTGCAGGAAGCATGATTTCAGCAACAGAGTTGTCACCTGCTCAAATCCCCACTCCTTTACCCTCAAACTAACCTCTATTGACCTCACCCCATTCCTAATAGGTCTGTAAGGTGCATACATAAGCACACAATCATGCCTACAGTCCCTGTCCTATTGTCCCCAATTATTAGTTCCTATTTCTTGTATTTAAACTCATGTTTATTCTTATTTCTATCATAATGTAAGCGTTTGACAAAATAAATAAAGAAAATAAAAATATTTCTGGTGGGCTTAAAAAGTAAAAGTCTGAAGTCTCTCTTGCGAACTCCCAGCAATAACAATAGCACTTAGACTTATATACCACTTCACAGAGCTTTACAACCCTCTCTAGGTGGCTTAAAGAGTCAGAATATTTCCCCCCAAAATCTCATTTTACTGACCTCAGAAGGATGGAAGGCTGAGTCAACCTTGAGCCTGGTGAGAATCAAACTGCCAAATTGCAGGCAGCCAGCAGTGAGTAGCCTGCAATACTGCATTCTAACCACTGTGCCACCAAGGCTCAATACACAAATTTGTTTAGATGTTGCCCCAGACTACACACCTTCTCCTTCATATGAACTTAACTAGCAATACAAACCATGATTTGATTGAGAGTTTGTCTCAGCATCAACTCTCATTTGGTAACCCTATCTTATAAAGACACAATATCTCCTTTTTTTTCCTATTAAAAAACGCTATAAGTATTTGCATAAATGTCTTGGTTCAAGTGCTCTCTCTGAGGCTCAAATACCCAGCACCATTATTGTGTGGTTAAAATTAGAAGATTCCAAGGACAGAAACCATAATAACAAACATAATAATAGCTGAATGGTAGCACTTACCCAGGCTTGGTTAATCTAGAAAAGTTAAACTGAGTCAGAGCCTTTTTTTTTTAAAGATAAACATTTATTGCTTTTACAATAATAGCAGAAAAATAAAACAGATGGTACCTGCTTAATAGTTGAAGCAGAGACCATCAGAAAGTTCTAAGCTTATACGTTAGATTGGAAATTGAAAGGGAAAAAAAACACATTAGGAGAAAAATGGGGAACCTGTTCTGTACAGAACTGCTGCCATTACAATGAGTCCGTGACCGGAAAAGCAGTATGAACTGAGTATATTGGGAAAATGATTGACATTACTGTAATTTACTCATTATTTCTTTTTCCTCTCTGCATCTTGCAGTGATGGCGTTGTGTTTCTACAGGCAGTGAAATCTCCTGACAGCAATTGCAGTGACCTTTTGATCACCACTGAACATGGTTTGACTTTACTGCGAGGTCAAGATTTAGAACAGCGTTGGACTCTAGAGCAGCCAGATATTGACAGGTTACTGGGTTTGAATGTGGGAATGTGACCTTTTCTGTTTCTCCTGTTGAACTCATATGTAATGGCAGGTTAATGGAGAACAACTCTTGTTAGAGTTAATCTACAGGAGCTTCCTCTCAGCTTTGTGGAATGTTTTTCTGTTAAATCAGCTTTCCTTAAATCTGGTTAAACTGGATGGGGTTTTGGGGAGTTGGCATTCAGCGCATCTAGTGAATCATCAAGTTGGGTCAGGTTGATCTGTTTGTTTGAAGAGCCACTGGAAACAGTTCTAAGCAACTGAAAGATATATTCATCTGAACCTTTAATGGCTGGTGTTTTTTTTTAATTATTCCATTAATATGACATGTCTGTAATGTCGTAAGTTGATTCTCAGACATGAAAATAAGTTAAAGTAATTACTGACATCAACATCAACATTTATCATTAGGGAAGCAGGGAACTCATTCTATTTTTGCCTAGGCAGTTATTTACTTACCTGCCGCATTCTTGTTAGTAACCTTAATAATTGAAGTTTCTTCTTTCAGGAATCTGGTTGGCTTTTGTTGCCTTCAAGTGAGCAATCAATATATTCCCCCTTTTTAGTTGTTTGACTCGTTTAAGTTAAGGTGTTAGATGAACAGGTACATCTTTAGTTTATGCCAAAAACTTACTAGATGTGGTAACAGGCCTAATTAGATGAAAAATAATATCATACACATTTTAAAAAAGCTACCTCTGACTGTGAAAGTATTTATGACTTTGCAGTTGAAACAAGAACCTTGGCATTACCAGTAGCATTAAAAAAAGGTTTTGGTTTGAAGTTTTGGTTTGAACTTGTCCAAGTCCAAATGGACAACTTGTGTGTGTGTGTGTAATCCTAGCCATGTTAAAAAGATGCATGAAAGGGTCATGAAGCTTTGAAGACTGCCTGTTCTTGTATTACTGTATGTACATGCACAAGATTCATCTCCATTCACTACTCTGAACTGGGTGATAGTAGTCATAAAGGACACAAAGATTCAGGTGAAGTAGAAACTTAGCTGAATCAGATTCTACTTAAGTGGGAAAAAATTGCTGCTAGAAAATTCAAGTTACTACTAGGGCCCAAAATTGTCAATTTGTTTTTGTTTTAACAACTACTGGTCTCCTGATTAGGAGAGCAGATTCAGTGGACAAACATTCTGAAATTTTCCGATGAAGTCTAGGCTCGTAGGGATGCAGATATGCTCCAATGAAGGAAAAGTGACTTCTCTCCAGGCACGGACATGTTTCCTTTGTTCACTTTTCAGTCTAACTGCTTTCTTCATTTTTACAGCCAGCCTTGCCCGGGATACTTCAATGATGATCAAACTGTGGACTTCATGCTTCAGGCCCAGCATGGAAATGTCTCTAGAAAGGTGCAGTCACTGCTTTCTTACAGTACAATTATGTGCAATCTTAACTATTCAGGCAGGTAGCTCCAAAGTAAATGTTTATCACATATTTCCTCAACCCAATGCTGGTTTGTTAATTCTGCAGTTGAAGAGCACCAGATTGGGAAAGAGTTGCATAGCTGTCCAATGTGCAATTTAAAGTTGATCCATTGTGACAAGCAGTATTACTTGAATTCTAATTCAAAGTAAGCCAGATGATCCCCTTCCCTGATATTTTGGATTTTAATTCCTGGTTAGTGGCAACGTATAGAATATGTAGTTTATGCCATTTAAATGTATCTGCTGTTGATACAGCTATGACCTTTCTTCTAAACTGACCACAAGACGTTGATTACATTTGTCATGTGATCATTCATTTCTGAGATTAAGGGCCAAGCTAGACATTAAAGGCATTTTGGCATTTAATGTGCATCTTTTAAGTATGGTAATTAAAGGGAACACAACAGATGTGGAACGGGTGTTTAATCCTTTGTTTAATTCTCTTCCACTTTTCCCCCTCTTTCCCCTGAAGTTTTATCTTGCTAATTCTGGGTTTCTCTGTTTTTAGATTCTGGTTGTGGATGGTAAATCAGGATTGCCAGTTTGGAATTATGAGCTGCCGTATCACATGAGGAAATCAGATGCACTGTCAGTGCTGACTTTGGACAAAAAATCTGTCTTTCTTTTCTGGGCTAATGAGAAGCAATCTCTCTTCAAAAGCTTGGTGAGTGCAGATTTTTTGAGTTTGGAGGAGGCATTTGCCCTGAAACCACACTATCTAATTATGTTTGAAAACAAGCTGCAGTTATATAAGGGCATGAAAAACATTTTGCCCATTCTATCTTCCTTTTCTGATTTTATGTGTTTCCGGGACTTTGAAACAATATTTTTTGGGAAAAAATATTTTTCTTTCTGTGAATATTTTTCTGGTCCGTTTCTTTATTAAACACATATGTATCTGTCATCAGCCTGAATCAAAGGCTTCTTCTCTGACAGTTATGGACTATAATCTTCTATGCTGTGTAGATTAGGTTGGTAGATAGAGAGTTTTTAATTTTCCTGTCTAGGGCTGAGAGAGAAACAGACTGGCCCAAATTCACCCAACCAGCTTTATAGGACTAGATTCTTGGGTTTCTCTTCTCCTAGTGTAGTAAACATTACATTTCTCTCTCTCTCTTTCCCTTCCCATTCCCTTCCCATTCCCTACCCCTACATATTTTTATATTTTAAGAAAAACTTCCTTTGGCAAAAAGTATCAACCTAATGCAGTATAGCAGCTGCAAAATCCAGGCATAAAAGCATACACATAATAAGAGATAAGAAATATGCTTTTAAAAGCCAATAAGTGTTTGCACCCACATTTTTTCCTAGGAAAGGAATTCCACATAGGGTTTCCATTTTTCTTGTACCTGCTTGTTTGGGCAGTCTAGTAGATTGACAATTAGGGCCAGAGTAATATAGATGGAGGTAATGCTTAAATATATTAGTCTCAGATTATGAGATTATCAGAATTTTAAACTGGATTTGAAAGCAAATTCCAGTTCTGAATTGGTGAGCTTTTTATTCCCATGTATCCTAGTTAGTAAAGCCATTGGCAAATTATGGAAGCTACAGACCTAATCATCTGAAAACATCAAATTGTGTCTCCCATTGGAATTTCACACTAGCTGACTTAGGGTAAATATTACTTTTCCATATCTGGAATGTTGATTATTTTTCAAATGCTTGCCAATTCCATTAAACTTATAAAACCATAATGGCCTTGAGTTGGACATGTTTGTCAGATCACACATGTTGGAAGATGTAGCCATGTTCATTTTGAACCTGTGTTCAACCTGGCGTGCTATGGAATCGCTGCTGCCCTAGATATAAATCCAAGCTAGGGAACACACCTTACATTTTAGGAGAATTATTTAGCAATTACAAGAGTGTGCATGTCTTTGAAAACAATAGTGTTCATGCTTTCATCTGTCTTTTAACAAAGGGGCTTATTACTCTGTCAATAAGCAGTAGCAATATTTATTACTGCAATGCAGCTTTGACCACCTTGAGGTAATTTTCCTGCCAAGATTGCATAAACAATCTTTATTCATCTCAGCCAAACTATATCGGCTATACACAGTAAAAGAAAGGGAGAACATTGACCAAACTCTTAATGTTAAGTTTGATAAATCCACACAGACATTACCTATATAAGGAACTGAATAAAATTTGTTTAATAAACATAAAGGGCTAGCACAGCTAAAGAGAAATCTGGTACAAGTAGTCCTTGATTTATGATCAGAATGGAGCCCAAAATTTCTTTTGCTAAGTGGGACATTTGTTAAGTGAATTTCCTCCCTTTTTACGACCTTTCTTGCCACATTTGTTAAGTGAATCACTGCACTTGTTAATTTAATAACAAGGATGTTAAGTGAACCTGGCTTCCCCATTGACATTGCTTGGTAAAAGGTTGCAAAAGGGGATCACATGACCCTAGGGCACTGCAACCGTCATAAATATGAGTCACTTGCCAAGCGCCTGAATTTTGATCACTTGATCTTGGGGATTCCACAATGGTTTTAAGTGTGAAAATTGGTCATAAGTCACCTTTTTCAGTGCCATTGTAACTTTGAACAGTCACTAAATGAACTATTATAAGTCGAGGACTATCTGTATGCATGTGTTTCTATTCTGACATGATGACATGATAGCAGTGTTCCAATATCTCAGGGGCGGCCACAAAGAAGAGGGAGTCAAGCTATTCTTCAAAGCAACTGAGGGTAGGACAAGAAGCAATGGGTGGAAACTAATCAAGGAGAGATGCAACCTAGAACTAAGGAGAAATTTCCTGACAGAACAATTAATCAACTTGCCTCCAGAAGTGATGAATGCTCCAACACTAGAAGTTTTAAAGAAGAGATTGGATAACCATTTGTCTGAAATAGTATAGGGTTTCCTGTCTTAGCAGATGGTTGGACTACTAGATCAGTGGTCCCCAACTGATGGTCCATAGACCACTGGTGGTCCGCGAGAATATTTTGGTGGTCTGCAGAAAAAATATTTGTATTTTTTATATTGTACTAAATCAGGGGTCCTCAAACTACGGCCCCTGGGCCGGATAGGTGCAAAGAACATTTGTGTTGCTGCAGAGCCTCCCACTTCAACCTATTGTGTTGAAGGGTGCTTTTGTGCAGAAATCCCCATATGGGGTCTGCTTCAGTCTCCTGGACGGGGCTTTGGGCGAAGGCTAGATGGAAGTGCCACTGGTGGCAAAGAGCCAGAGGGCCTTGTTCCAGTGGGACTGAATCATGGCCTGGAACTGCCTGACCATCTCAGCCTGCTGAGCCTCCAGGTGCCGGTACCTGGCCTTGCTCTCCTACAGATCTTCCCTCTGCTTGGGAAGCCTATGCTTGTAGTCCTCAGTGAGGTGCTTTGGTTGAGCCTCCTTCTCAGTCAGATCCAATTTGAACTGATCCAGCTGTTTTGCCAACTCTTTCTCATGGTGGCTGCTTACCTCCAACAACTGCTTCCTGTTGGGGTCCTAAAAAGCAGGCAGGTGAAGAGTGGCTGGGAGGGGAGGGGCGAGTAGAGGTTAGCGAGGTGCCCCTCAACTTGAGTGACATTGAGTTGGCCATGCCCACCCAGTCACATAACCACCTAGCCACACCCAGCCAGCCAGTCATTAGGCAGATTATATTAGTGGTCCCAGGATTTAAAATTATGAATTTACTGGTCCCTGAAGCCTGAAAAGTGGTGACCCCTGGACCAGATGACTTCCAAGGTCTCTTCCAACTCTGTTATTCTATTCTATTCTTTCTAATGACTTTTCCTCACCCTGTCTGTGCTTTTCCTCCACTGATCATACAAGATCATCGGAATACCTGGGATGAGAAGAAAACATTAGAAGGTTAAAAAAACATTAGGTTTCCAATTCTTGTTTTCATTTTAGCTTCATATCACATGACTGTTGCTATCATTATTAATTTCAATTTAGGCAATATAAATAACCATATAAGGTGCAAAACTGATCCTGCCGTAATCTATGGATTTGGGCAAACCACTGCTTCCCCGCATCCTCTTCTCTTGGAATAAAATAAAATGAAATAAAAGCTGACTCTCAAGAATTTTTTTCAAGGAACATTGGCAGTTATTGTGAATCTGACACTTTAACTTACAAGCAATATTGAGGTGAATGGAGGAGGCAGCAAGATGAAATAGTGATAATTGACATACATACATAGACTCATTTTAATGGGAATTTGAAGGTGGTAATAACTGGAAAATGTCCATGTACTGATTGGTGTTTGATCATTACAAGCTTTTCTCATCTCTGTTCCAGGTTGCTTTAGATTCTTTTTATTACACTGTGTAATCTTGTGTTTTGCAGTGTAGCTGTCATTACCTTTTATCACTGGCCACGCTGGCTAGAGCTATGGAATTGGTCTACAAGGTCTACTTTAATTCTGTTGAAATGAGTGTGATGAATTAAGCAGGGGCCCTTTATGACTGCTACTGTTGTTGCTGCTGTTTTAGGAACCCAGGCCAAGGACTCACCATCTTTATCTTCTTCATCCTACTTTCCCTTCAGTCCTTTTGGACCTGAGTAATACGACAGACCCAGTAATTGCTTCGTCTAGTGAGTATGCCAGGAAACATCGGAAAGGAAAAGCCAAGTTTCCTTAAGTAAATGCTGAAAGATGTCCTAGTTTGTGGTGGCTAATAATGGCTCAGTTCCCATTTTTGTTATGTTGTTTGTAGTACTTAAGCCTATTAGTTAAATATTGATCTCTCCTTTGAATGCACAATGCAGTTCTTTATTTGCATATTTCATTAAACTGGTCTAGGCTGTCAAGGATCTAAAATACTGAAGGTGTATTTTTCTTGGCATCTTATATTCTTCTAATGAAATTGGTTGTGTTTTTTGTTGTTGCAATTACAATTTCTAAGATTTAGAAGTAGTTACAGTGTGCTAAGGTTTCAGATTATTTGTTTTTGCTTGTGTGTAATTGTGCAACCAAAAATGCTGTGTGATTGTGACCTTGTATCTGTGCTGCAGAGCCATTTGTATTCATAGCACTTTCAGACCGCTGATCACCGTTCCTAGCTTTTAGCTGAAACTAGAAGCCAAACCTGAATTCATTTAAGAACAACTAATAAATATTAGCTTTAGGAATCCAAATGTGATTTACTGTTTACTAGTCACTGGTGGTTGTTTTTGTTTCCCTTTTCATTTGTTAGTTGGAATAAATGATCTTCAAAAAGATGCCTTTTATATTATGGTGACAAGAAGCCCCACTTCTGAACACCAGCCAGGGGTTCTGTCAGTTAGGAAGCTCCGCCTGAGGTGGGCCTTGATGACACAGAGCCGGGATGTACCTCTGAAAGACACAGATCCCAAAATCAATCATGGGGAACTGAGGCGGATTCTTTCTAGGATCAAATTTATTGATTTTGCTCAGAAGGTGAGGTTCCTTGGGGTTTAAACAAGGGCATGTAAGAGGGTGGAGAACTCACTTGACTATTCTATTGAAGAGGAAGCAAAATGATGTTCTGGAGAATTGCAGAATGAAAGAGTTGAGAAACTGCTAAGCTATATGGTTTCTCTATTTTGATATGGGAGGAATTGGCCTTGCTGGTCATGCTCTACAGTGACTCACTTATCTGGGGAATGCTTAAGGGAGGCCTCAAGTAAGCAATTGTGGATTAAAGTTTAATGTTTTAATTTGTCTTCCCCTAATACAGAAGTTAACTTGCATGACTCAGAAATGTGATATAGTAGTTAATGTAGACAATGTGGATTTTTATGTTTTTATTTGCTTTCCTAAAATTTAGTATTGTGCTTTTGGGTCAAAAAGTGAAAATAAGACTCAGATTGGGCTGTGAGACTTTGGGAGATGAATGAATCCTGTCTCTATGGATGAACTGACCAATTCCTCAAATACATAAAAAAGATCAATTTTCACTGACATCAGAGCTGCTGTGTGGAAATATGATTGAGAGACTTCCTGGCCAGTTGCCTTTTTCTGTACTTCTGTAGAGTATTTCCATATTTTGGAAGATTGCTAGAATCTTTGAAAAGGAAGTTTTTATTAAAAAAAAATAGAAGAAGAAAATGAATAAACTCCAGCAGATAAATTGGAAATTGCTTTCTTCATTAAGATTGAAGTTTCAAATAGAGTTAGTTATATTCTCAGGCAAGAGTAGGCTCATTTTCTAACCTGTTGAGATCTTTGGTGCAAGAGAACTGCAAGTATCCTAGATAGGCTTAGAGAGATTTATACAGTTCACTTATTATTGTAAGCCATTATGTGTTTGGTTAACACAATATGTGAATTCCAATTGCAATTTTTGTATTTTGGCCTACAGATTAGTGTGACATGAGAACCTAGCTAATTATAAATTATTCAATAAACCACACTAACTAAAATCTTGGTTCTGACTACTGTCTGGCTGACATGATACAGTTGATGTTTCATCTCCCCTTCTCCCAACATTCCCTTACTGTTAATTGTGCCTTGCATATATACTAATTCAAAAGCCAGACTTGGCATATCTGACACCTTTTCTTCTCCCTTTCCCCCTACCTCAGTTCTAGCCATATATCTCAGGTGTTCTGAGTGACAAATATGGAGCTCAATGTCTACAATCAAGCTGGTCAGTCAGACTTTATGAAAACTCCGGTTAATGAAGAATGGGAACTAAGCCCAGATGTTTTAGCACTGGGGAAGCCAAACTGTTCATCCTTAAGTATCCTGACTTGAAGAAAAGCTGCTTGTCCCTTTGTTTGCTATTACATGTCTGCATACTTCTTTCCAGGTGGATTGAATGTATTTAAACCGGGATATTGGGGTATGGGTATTGTTATCTTAATTTATGAAATATATTAAAAAGTTCCTATTTATGTTGTAGAAGTATTTAAGCTCCTATTTATATTGTAGAGGTATTTCAGTGTACTCTGCCTTTCACCACTATTCCTTTGACTGACACCCTTCACTCTGAGTTCCTTCAGTTTTTTAAACCTCCTTTTGTTTTAGGATTACTCTTTTTTCCCATTTAGTCATTCCAATCTTCCATGTCTCAATCCATAATCCTCAGTGAATGATATTATGTGTCCTAGTGCCGCTTGACTGCATGCATACATAAATGCATGCATTAATTCATTCATTCAGAGCCAGATGGCTTAGCTACTGAAAGTTAGTCTAGTGACCATCAAATCTTCCAAATGAGTCTAGAATCAATCTATTCAATTTATAGTGGAGTTTTATATAACCAATGGATAAAATGTTTGGTTTAATGCTCTTGTATATTGACCATATGAATTCTGATCAGACATTCCCAAGGAAACAGCACTATAGATGCTTTTGATGTTAGTATTACACAAACTTTGATATTACCTCCTAAAATAGAACTTGTCTATCATTAAACAAGGTGATGGTTCTACTATCTTCTCATAATGTGTGTTTTGCTTTAAAGCATTAAAAATACTACTTCTGAAAGAAGATACAATTGAAGTTTTTTCATAAAAACATGAGAGCTCTAAAGAGTAAGATTAAACATCTGTTTATTCTAGCATCCTTTTCTGGCTGAACATATACCTTTAGAAAAATCGCTAGCCATTTCCTGCTCCTATTCCCCAGTACACATTTTGGTGACTCCATTGCTTACATTCCTCCTTTATGAGAAATGTCAATTTATTCCTGGATCAGGTACGGATCAGGACTACTGCCTTGGCAATGTAAGAGGAATTGCCATACTGGATTGAATTCAAGATCTGTATATAATCCCTTTCAAATGTGTTTATCAGCTTTTATCCTCCCAGTAATTCTGAAGCAGTGCCTCACTCTACTGCTCTATTTTTATTTGTATATGTTGGAAAGGAGCTTTGCTAAATGTTAGCACAATTTATAGCACTTGTCTTCCTCACTGCCACCTCCTGGGCTTCTTCTGGTTTTTCAGATAACTTAAATATATAAGATAGTCTTCCCTAATTTGGTGTCTTTCAGCTTTATTGGACTGCAACTCCCTTAACAGTTTAAGGCCCTGCTATGTAGCAGTAACAATCTTAACACAATCATAATATGTATGTCATAAATGTTTTGAGTGTATTTCCCATAGATGCTTCACACGGCAGTTTGATATATCTGAAAGGCACCCAGTTGGAGAAAGCAGTACCCACATTGCTTCCAGAGTTTCTTGAACAAGGAAAAAAATCTGTGTTGCTCATCCTGTTGGCAAATTTTGAAAACTACTTGAAATGATGACATGCAACCTGAGTTTCTCCCTTCAGTTCAGATTTGATTTATGCCATTTGGTGCTTTTGAACTTTCTGCAATTGTTTTTTTCTCTCTCCCTGTATTCCCTATGCACTTTAAAGAAAAGGCTTGTCTGTATGTTGTTCTAAATCTTACTGGAAGAAATAAATATGTACAGCATATCTCTTTGTCAACTGAGTTTTCTAGCTTCTCTACAGCAATTGAAAGTGGGCCTTGAAAAGAATAAAATTAGAGTCTGTAGGCTGTCAGCAATTAAAAATGCCATGAGAAGCTACTGTGGGAATATGCACATATCAGCTGTGATCATACACAACCTTCTGCCTAGAACAGAATTTACAGAAATTCCCCCCCCCCAAAAAAATCAGATTTATGAAATATTGATAGTTTAGCCATGACACAATGCTAATTGGCCCTTTAGTTAATCATAAAGCTATTCTTCCTAATAAGTCTTCCTAAAGTTTATATCCATGGACACAGATTCTTTAAATTCCAACAAAGTTTGACAAAATGCAAGACATATGGAGTGAAGAAAAGGAGAAGCTAAGCATATAATTCAGTAAAATAAATCTATATTGTTCAGTCACTACTCGGTTCATGTGAGAAAAGCCCAGATTGTCTGTGATAAAGTGTCAGTGCCAATCAGTATATATGAGTCTTCCTGTTATTTCATGCTGTTAGCAAGTCCTGAGGCTGTTTTGCTATAGAATGAAATGGAAACACGTTTATAGGCCAGTATATTATCTAATAACCTGCATTTGTGATTGGATTTTATAAATGCTGATTCTCCCACCATTAAGTAAATAACACAAGATGGCAATTTAGACTATTTAGATATTCACATTTCTCCCTCTTCCAACTGAATATAGCACCCCATGCCTATAAACAGTGAGCAACTGAGGCCAGCCAGCCTAGTCTAGCTATTACAGTGAAATGTTCCCATACTTCAAAGTTCTCCTTACTAATTGGCCTAAATTTCAGCTCCTCCTGTCTCTGGAGCATTGACTTGCCTCCTGTGGCTTTTGGCAGATGACAACAATGACAAGGCTGTCAGTTGAAAAAAAAAACCAAAACCCTTGTCAGCTTGAAACATATGGAGTCTATATGGTACTTGTAGGCTTCTGGAATGAGACTTTTGGTTATTTGTTCCTTCTGGAGAGCAAGAGCATGGGAAACATGCTTGAGCTATTTTGCTTTGGTGTCCAAAGGTTTTATGAAAAGCCACAACAATAAAAACAGCCCCCCAAAGCAAGCTGTTTCTTATCTTAGCTGAAAATACTGTTATACTATGAATGCTAAAAGCGGAATCCTTGGGATGTAGAAGGCTGAGACAGTATCTCTAGGCAAACTGTGAGTAGTTTGTTTTCCATGAATGTTAGTTAATGCTTATACCACACTCCCAATTTAATGGCAATGTGGAATGATAGTAATTTATGGCATTTTTTGACAAATCTGTAATCAAGCTCATCTGTCAGGGCACTCCCTCTCAGCCATTTTTAATGTGCTTTCCTCTCATTCTTGAGGTGGGAAGAAAACAGATCAACCTAAATTGTGCTACTTCCCACAATCAACCTTGGCTGTACTGCAGTATTGTTGCCATCACACAAAGGACATGGCGTGGTTTCATGGGCAGTAAATACAGATAGTCCTCTATTTATTTCAGTTCATTTAGGGACCACTTGAAGTTACAACGGCACTGAAAAAAGCGACATGACTTTTTCACAGTTACAACAGGGTTGCAGCAGCCCTGTGTTCACATGATCAAAATTTGGACACTTGGCAATTGGCATGTATTTATGATGATTGCAGATTCCTGGGGTCATGTGATCCCCTTTCGCCACCTTCTCACTGGGGCAGTCAGAGTCACTTAACAACCGTGCTACTAATTTAACAACTGCAGTGGCTCATTTAGTAGCTGTGGTAAGAACAGTCCTAAAATGGGGCAAAATTATCTTGCTTAATAACAGAAACTTTGGGCTCAATTGTGTAAGTTGAGGACTACCTGTAATGGATTCCCTGCTAATCTTTTTCTTTTTCCCATTCAGTTTCAACCACTGCTGGGAAAATCAACCAATGCCCATCTTCATGAAGGTGTAGTGGGGCAAGGTTGATTTGCCCTTTTATTATTCACTGGATATTCATAAAGAAGCTGGATAATGCTCTAAAGGAGGTTGGGAGGAGTTGATCTATGGTGGGAAGCTCGTTTTAGACGTCCAGAAGTAAATGAAGAACAACAATTAAATGAAGTAAAACAATATAATTACCCTGATAAGAAGGGTAATTCCCAAAGAGTGGGGGAACCCACCCAAAGAGTGATTTGATAAGAGGAACAAGGAAATTCATAAAAGTAAATAGAGTCACTCCTTGGCTATGCTGCTTTCTGTAACTTCTCTCTTCCAAGGCTGGATTGGAAGAGCAGTCATGATGATGATTATGATAATTTGCTAAACTAATCCACTGGTCATTGTGTAAAAAATACAACTTATCTGTATCTGAAAAGTCATGGGAACATAAGTGGAAAAAGTTGTCGAAAATGAGAAGCTGAAGATCTTGTGGGACTTTTGAATACAGACGGATTATCATTTGGAACACGACATGCCAGACATCACAGTTGTCGAAAACTGAAGCATACAATTTATTGATATTGCTATACCAGGAGACGCCAGGGTCAGAGAAAAAGAAGTGGAAAAAAATCACGAAGTATCGCAACCTGGCCATCGAAACTACACGATTATGGATGAAACATGTAACAGTGATACCCATTGTCATTGGGGCACTTGGCACCATGTCCAAGAATTTTACAAAACACATCAAGAAATTGCAGTTTCCTGCAATAACACCAGCAGAACTGCAGAAAACTGTGCTACTTGGAACATCGTATATTTAAAGAAGTTACTCGGTTGATACCTAAGATGCTGGCAGCAACCTGTATCAACCATTAGCACCAGTCACTGGTATTTATGATACATTTTTAAATGTTCAGTTGACTGAGTTTCATGTTTAATGAATAAAACAACAACAACAACAACAGTAATAGGAAGGTGGGGTGGCTCTCCGGCTAGAATGGGGAGTTTGCCTTTCTCTAGGGATTAGTAATCATATACTGATTTTTTAAAAGTTCAGTGTGATGGAAATATTGATTTCTTCTCATGCAAAAGTTCAATATTTCCTCTGCAGATTCAAGCTGCTGCTCTGCATTTTTGTGGTGGAATAAGCTACTTTAAAAAAAAATCTAGGGACCTGTGCTGTCTTCCTTCCCTCCCATTTGAACCTTTTCCTCAGTGTCAGCATGGCAGAGTTGCCAATAAAATTGCAACCTTGAGACAGATTTGGGCAGAGAAGTGTGTTCTGGGAGCTCAGTAGCCACCAGCAAACAAGAGAAAGGCAGCCAAATAAAATAATGTATTTTTCCTTCAAAGGGAGTGGATGATCCAGAAGAAAAAGAAGTACAGGTATATAGGCACAGCAAATCAAAGTACAAAGTGGAAAGGTGCAAATACATGCCAATCATTAACAAAGAAGAATAAAGAACTCCCAAAGAGAAAAGAATTAAGGCAGAAGGGTTTGTAAGAAGAAAACACAGCTAGTAACACCAGTGAGTATAGTATAGTAATAGTAAAAAGGAAAAGTAATAATAGTTATACTATAGGTCAGGGATTCCCAACCCTCAGTCCATGGACTGGCACCGGGCAGCAGCATGCCAGAAACTGGGCCACACAAACAAGCGAAGCCCCATCTATAGGATGCAGGCAGCATGAGAAATTCTCTCTCCATGGAACTGGTCCCTGGTGCCCAAAAGGTACGGGGCTGCTGCTATAGATGATAGCATAAAGGAAATGTTGTAATAATTGATTAGTAGTGTAATAGGGTATAGCAATTGTTATAGAAATGGTAATTAGCATAGTAATGTAGAAATAATAGCTTTTAAAATACATGTTTGGGGTAACTGGAAGAAACAAATCAAGATGATAGAACAGGATAGAAATTTTGTGTATCCTTCTATCCTTGCTAAATAAGGCATTAATAAAAGCATACAGACCTGGAAAGCTTACAACTAACCAAAACTAAATCAGCTACATCAATCATGCTTGACTGCCTGGCATTGATCTGATTTTGGCAGATTCAGCAGGCAACTTAACTAGTTTAGCAAGCCACTAGTAGCCTGTCATGTATGAAATAAAAGGTGTAGCTGTACTAGGCAGCACAGTCCAGTTTTAGGAACTGGTAAGGCATCTCATAGGCAACAATGGATGATGGGCAATTACAAGGAAACAAAGGAAATATGGCTGTTATCTACAGAAATAGCACTTAAAATTATTTACCTAAGCAGTTTACAGTCAGCATATTGCCCTGGGTCTTAATCTGGGTCTTCATTTTACCAACCTTGGAAGGATGGAAGGCTGAGTCATCCTTGAGCCAGTGAGAATTGAATTGTTGGCAATCAGCAGAATCAGCCTGCACTACTGCATTCTAACCACTGCGCCACCACAGAAATGCAACATAGAGACTAAATATGGCTATTGGTTATTCTCTCTAGGCCAGGGCCTGGAAAGCCTCCATGGCCTGCTTATGTTCCTCTGACACCAAACAGATCAAGCTGAAGAATGGGAAACATATTGTAGATTCTCATTCATGCTGGCAGCAGCCTGGACCAGAGCCATTTTGAAAAACCTCTCTCCCTGGATCCTACTAAAGACTGGTGATGTTGCTGCAGTTTTTTTTTTTTAAGTGTGTGTGTGTGTGTGTGTGTGGCGGGGGAGACAGGGATAAAGCATCCCCTACTAATAACACTGCACAGATTGTTGGAAAAAAACAGAACATTTTTCTCTTCCTGGCAAGCATTTTAAAGACTACTAATGACAATGGAGAAGTAATGATTGCAGCATAACTGTAGAAAGAAAGAAGCATGGGGATCCAGTGATCTCCAAGCATGGTGGGATCATACATACATATGTATAGCCTGTGACTTCGGACTACCAGGTGCAGTTATCAAGGTTGGAAATATGACTCATCCTTGTCCTAAGTAGCAATCCTGCTTACTTGTCTGATGTTTCTGAGTCACAATTCTTGATTTCATTTATCATTGGACATATTGGCAGTCATAACTAAAAATTGTAATTCAACAAATTTCTAGCAATTGAGAGATTCCCTGATATTACTAAGA